AGACCATTTTCTATTATAGTAATGTCCTCTAGACAGTTTAGCAGTGGAGGGCCTTAGTTGCTATTTTGATTTGTTGTATTTGGTTTGTTGAGGTTCTAGGCCACCTGCTCGTGTGCCCTCTCATTTTTTTAGTCCGGTTATCCGCCCTTGCACTCTCTTATTGTTGGCTTTGGGTTATATAATATCATCTATCGTTTCGGAAAAAAAAAATGAACATGTCAAATGCAAATGTCAAAAAGTTACCTCATTGCCAACCGCATGTTCCGCATTTTTGGGGGACTTCTCCTCCACTCAACCTCCTCATCAACCGCTTGAAAGTTTTTGGAACTAAAAAAAATTAGTTTTAGGAGAACCAAATTATAATTCGGGAAAAATTGATAAATGTACAAATGCCAAAAGGAACATGTCAAATGCAAATGTCAAAATGTTACTTCATTGTTGCCTGCTCTGCATCCTCAGGGGAATTCTCCATAACATGAACATCTTTATCAACTGCCTAAGAGTTTTGGAACAAAAAATATCAGTTTTAGGAGACTCAAATTTTAATTCTGGAAATAATGTACAAATGTCAAAAAGTATTATGGGAAGATTTGATAATTGCAGGAAATGGAGAAAATCAGGGATTGTATACCATTTAAGTTGATTGTAATTGATACAGAATATTTCCTAGTATAATCACTTGCTGTGCTATATATGCATGTACATTTGCTTTGTATTGAATTAACAAAAGTGTCAGAAAACACCTACAGCAACATATCCCTTTCATTTCTTATCTTCTTTTCATACTTTGTTTTCATGGCATCAGAGCACTAAACCTGGTGACTAAATATTTCAAACGCTTCCGCTTTATCTCGTAACCCCATGAGTAGTGAAGAAAATCTTCAAACCAAAATGTCTGGATCTGTTCTAGAATTTTCAGATCCGTACTCTCTACAACAATCAGACCACCCGGGCATGATACTCGTCTCCAAGGTGCTGGAAGGCGATAATTACAGCACTTGGAGTCGTGCAATGAGAATAAGTCTGAGCGCGAAAAATAAGATTGGATTCATCACAAATTCAGTCAAAGCACCATCAAAATCCGATGTGAAATTTCCCTATTAGCAAAGATGTAACGACATGGTGATTTCGTGGCTACTGAACTCGATTCACCCAGACATAGCAAGTAGCGTCATCTATGCTGAAACCGCATCAGAAATTTGGGCTGATCTTGAGGAGCGCTTCTCACAAGGAAATGACTCCAGAATTTTTCAAATAAAAAGAGAGATTGTGGAACATAGACAAGGGCAACAATCCATCTCAGTTTACTACACAAAACTGAAAGCCCTTTGGGATGAGCTTTCATCATATCATGGGCCTTTAACATGCTCTTGTGGAGGACTGGAACAACTCAAGAAAATGGATGAAAAAGAGAGAGTTATGCAATTTCTCATGGGACTAAACGAGAGTTACGCTGCTGTTCGTGGACAAATCCTATTAATGCAACCTCTACCAGACACTCGTCGAGTCTATTCTCTCATCCTCCAACAAGAAAAACAGGTTGAAGTCTCAATTAATCAAGGAAATATGAACCATCATGCCATGCTGGTGGATCAAAATTCAAAAATTTCTCAAGTCCATAAAGTTCAAAAACACAAGACGCAGCGACATTCTTCCTACTGTGATCTCAACAATCATAGCATTGAGCGGTGCTATTATCTTCATGGGTTCCCGACAGGCCATAAGCTACACGGAAAAAGTGTGAAACCTCCAAATCAACGCCAAAATAGTACAAATAATGTAAAACTCGAGAGGAACATTGCATCAGATAACAACAACGGGAAGTCTGTTCAGAATCCTGATGGTGCGAGACTTACAACCGAGGAGTACAATCAACTCTTGGCCATAATTCAGAAAACAATGACGGTAACTCTCAACGATTTGCTAATACTACAGGTACTATCAAACCAATATCTCATATTTCCCAGCACTTAAATTATGGTTGGATTATTGATAGTGGAGCTACTGATCACGTCACGTCCTCATTCAGGCTATTAAATTCTCAAAATTTTCCTAGAAAAACAATAATTAATATGCCAAATGGTGGTCAGGCAAATATCGAGTCAGTTGGTTCATTAGATATTACACGCAACATTAAGCTCGAGGGTGTTCTTAAAGTTCCAGATTTCCAAGTTAATCTATTATCTGTGAGCAAACTAACTCGAGCACTTGGGATTTCCAAGTTAATCTATTATCTGTGAGCAAACTAACTCGAGCACTTGGGTGTACAGTAACTTTTACCACGGACTATTGTGTTGTGCAGGACGCTGCTACGAAGAGGATGATTGGCCTGGGCAAGCAACATAATGGCCTTTACTACCTACAGCATGATGAAAATTTAGTTTTAGCCTGCACTTTAAATAATTCCTCGAATATTTGGCATAGCCGACTTGGGCATCCGTCATCTGGTCCTCTTCAAGTTTTAAATAAAACTATCCCCGAAATTTGTTTTGATTCAAAGCATATTTGTGAAATTTGTCCCCTTGCAAAACAAACACGTCTATCTTTTCCTTCCAGTACAATTTCTTCTCAATCACCGTTTGACTTGATACATTGTGATATTTGGGGACCGCATAAAATAAAATCTCATTCCGGTGCTCGTTATTTTTTGACAATAGTCGACGATTATTCTAGATATACTTGGATACATCTTATGAGTTTTAAATCGGAAACACAAGAGTTACTAAAATCTTTTATTTCTTGGGTTGAAACACAATTTGGTTGCAGGATCAAAACTCTTCGAACTGACAATGGTACTGAAATTTTATCAATGAAAGATTATTAAGCAACCAAGGGAATAAAATATCACCATTCATGCCCTTCAACTCCCCAACAAAATGGAGTGGTTGAGAGAAAACATCGTCACCTGCTCAATGTAGGACGAGCTCTTCGTTTTCAAGCAAATTTGCCTTTAAGATTTTGGGGAGAAAGTATACAAACAGCATGCTATCTAATTAACAGGTTGCCTACACCTCTTCTCTCATACAAATCTCCATATGAAATTTTGCATAATAAGACCCCTGTATATAATCATCTTAGAACATTTGGATGTCTTTGCTATGCTACTAACCTTCTACCTGTACATAAATTTGATCAAAGAGCTCGTCAATGCATATTTGTTGGTTATCCATTTGGTCAAAAAGGTTATCGAGTTTATGATCTTTTAACTAATAAATTCTTTTCGTCGCGAGACGTCATGTTTCATGAGCATATATTTCCATTCCGCATAAACCATCAAGAAGACCAACTTGATGAAATTGTCATCCCATTACCTTCCACTTCAGAATATGTACAAATAGACAATAATACTCTTCCTGAAAATGAGAATATTCCTGATACTAGTATCACTGAGCACCCATTACCCAATGTTCCACGTCGTTCTGACCGCATTAGACAGTCAAACGTTCATTTGAAAAATTACCACCTTTATAATATTTCAAAATCAGATCATGGCCAATCTTCTCCTTCGGGCACGCGTCATCCTTTGTCCAGGTATATTTCTTATTCGCATCGTTCGCCAAATTATCATAAATTTGTTTGTGCTATTAATACACCTGTAGAGCCAGCTAATTATGAACAGGCTATACTTGATCCGAATTGGCGTAAGGCTATGGATGTAGAAATAAAGGCCCTTGAGAAAAATAACACATGGACACTTACAACTCTCCCCCTTGGTCATCGTCCCATTGGCTCCAAATGGGTATACAAGATTAAATATAATTCCGATGGCACAATGAGCGTTATAAAGCTCGTTTGGTAGCCAAGGGGTTTACTCAACGAGAAGGAATCGACTACAAGGAGACATTCGCACCAGTAGCAAAGTTAACGGCTGTTCGTTGTTTACTTGCCGTGGCTGCTGCTCGAAACTGGACCATTGAACAGATGGACGTACAAAATGCTTTCCTTCATGGCGACTTAACGGAAGAGGTATACATGCAACCACCTCCCGATCTTCGTCGGCAGGGGGAGATACCTATGGTGTGCAGACTTAACAAATCATTATATGGGCTAAAGCAGGCTCCCAGAAGTTGGTTTCATAAATTTTCTGATAGTATCCAACAAAATGGTTTTCAACGATCATCGGCTGACTATTCACTTTTTACTAAAGTTTCTGGTGATAGTTTCACTGTTGTGCTCATCTATGTCGATGACATGATTATAGCAGGAAATGATAATGGAGAAATCGGCGCTCTAAAAGACTTCCTTGGTACAAAGTTCCGGATTAAAGACCTTGGCCAATTACGATATTTCCTTGGAGTCGAAGTTGCTCGTTCAGTTATTGGTATTTCAATATCTCAAAGAAAATATACACTTGATATTTTAGAAGAAGCAGGTCTTCTTGGAGCCAAGCCTTTGTTGACACCTATGGAAGAAAATATAAAGCTATTGCCCACAGATGGAGACAAATTGAAGAATCCATCAATTTATAGAAGACTGGTTGGTAAACTTATTTACCTCACAATTACTAAACCGGAAATTATTTATTCTGTTCATGTTTTAAGCCAATTTATGCAAGAACCAAGGAAACCTCATTTAGATGTTGTCCATCATCTTTTACGGTACCTTAAAGATGCACCTGGGCGAGGATTATTTTTTCCAGCCAAGACGAATTTTCTATTAATAGGATTCTGTGATTCTGATTGGGCTCGTTGTCCAATCTCAAGACGATCGGTAACTGGGTATTGTATCTTTCTTGGAGGAGCTCTCATTTCATGGAAAACAAAGAAACAAACGACTGTGTCAAGGTCTTCAGCAGAATCTGAATATCGAGCAATGGCTTCAATTACATGTGAGCTCACATGGCTAAGATACTTGTTGAGTGACTTGCGAGTAGAACACCCACGACCAGCGAAACTATTTTGTGATAGTCAAGCGGCGTTACATATTGCAGCTAATCCGGTTTACCATGAACGGACAAAGCATATAGAGATAGATTGTCATGTTGTTCGAGAAAAAATTCAATCAGGAGACATAGAGACTGCTTACGTTCCTTCAAAGGGACAACTTGCTGATTTGTTTACTAAGCCACTCAGTTCATCCAATTTTCAGCCAATTCTCAGCAAATTGAGTGTTCATGACATACACACACCAATTTGAGGGGGAGTATTATGGGAAGATTTGATAATTGCAGGAAATGGAGAAAATCAGGGATTGTATACCATTTAAGTTGATTGTAATTGATACAGAATATTTCCTAGTATAGCCACTTGCTGTGCTATATATGCATGTACATTTGCTTTGTATTGAATTAACAAAAGTGTCAGAAAACACCTACAGCAACATATCCTTTTCATTTCTTATCTTCTTTTCATACTTTGTTTTCAAAAAGAAAGATGTCAAATGCAGATGTCAAAAAGTTACCTTAGTGTCAACCACCTGCTCCACAATATCAGAGGAATTCTCCTCAGGAGTTGGTATTTCGCTTGATTCTTCTCGAGTGGATGGCTTCTCATCTCCTTGTGTTGTGTTACCAGCTATTGCAATCATATAGCCATCCAATCTCTTAAACACTTCCCCAAATGCCCGATTAATGGCATTGGGGACGACATGACTCAAAGTTCTTTTAATTATCGAAGGCACCAACTCCTTCAGACATTTTGACACTTATTGGTTGATCTATGATTTGATGCTATCTTTGTCCATTGCGGAACTTTCTGGTTCTCTTGGCTCCCTTTCTTGCTCCCTCGGCTCCCTAGAGAGCAAGGACACCCGACAAGGAGGAGCTCCCTCAGAAAAGAGGAGTAATTCACATGATATTCGAAGGGCCGACTGATGGAGATTAAAATCGGGCCAGAAAAGCATATGCTCGAGGACACTATGGAAAAATTGAAGTGCAACAGATTGAGGAAAACGGTCCGGTGATGAATTTTGGACCAGCAGACATGAGAGAAGTCGAGAGACCTCACAATGATGCCCTAATGATCACAGCTCAGATATCGGGCTATGAAGTACAAAGAATCTTTGTCGACACGGGAAGCTCGGTGAACGTGATTTTTTACAATTGTCTTAAGCGGATGGAACTCGACATCGAGCTCTCACCCCTACACACCTCACTTTTTGGATTTAACGGCTCGGAAGTCGCACCCCTAGGAAAGACCACGCTCGCTGTCGTCCTAGGGGAAGGCGACCTAAGGAAAGTGAAAATGGTACGATTTGTCGTAGTCGACGTCGAGTCAGCCTATAATGTGATTCTGGGAAGGCCAGCACTCAACACATTCCAAGCAGTAGTGTCAACCTACCATATGAAACTAAAATTCCCCGTGGGAGATAAAGTCGGGGAGGCCAGAGGGGACCAGAGGCTGTCAAGAACTTGTTATCAGATTGCAGTAAGAACAAACCAACGGACGGAGGTAAAAGAAGGGCAAAAGCTGATGTCAAGCGAAAAAAGACAAAGGGAGAGTGACCTCGAGCCACATGGAGAATTAATGGAAATTCAAATCGGGGAAAAAGAGGAATAGACCACTAAAATTGGGCGAGAATTGGAAGATGAGTTGCGTCGACAGTTGGTGGGACTGCTGAAAGAATTTAGGGACATATTCGTTTTTTCCCCCGAAGAGTTAATGGGAATCAACCCCGATGTCATGGAGCATAAACTTAATGTCGACCCCCTCAAGAAACCTGTGAAGCAGCGTCTCAAGCGTCACGGGGCAGAGATCGATAAAGCAATCGAGGTCGAGGTGGACAAGTTGCTGAAGGCCAAACATATCAAAGAAATTCAATTCCCCGAATGGATATCGAATACAGTGATAATGAGAAAAGCGCTAAATAAGTGGCGCATGTGCATCGATTTTTGTGACTTAAATTTAGCTTGCCCAAAGGACCACTACCCCCTGTCGAGAATCGACCAGCTGGTCAACTCCACAGCTAGCTGTCAATTGCTAAGTATGATGGACGCGTCCCAGGGATATCACCAAATTTCGTTGGCTCCTAAGGAT